TAAAACAAGGAATCATCTCAATTGTGGATGCAGTTGTCATATGATATTTCTAGTATAATTTTCAAATTTCATAGTACTGAATGTGAGTAATGGTACAAAATGAAGTTTATATCTTCATCTGTTTTATTAAAGTGAAAGTTTAATAACTGAACTTTAACATCTACATCAAGTGATAGTATATTTTCTTTAGTCTGAATAACATTTAATTGCAGCAGTGTCATATGATAGTAGATTTTCTATGAGAAGTTAATAAGTTACTGTTACTCCCATGTATCTTCAGTTTTAAACTTATTTACATGATGGGTTGTGTTAATTATGCAGTCTTAGAACCATTATAAATATAAATATTTCTGTACATAAGAAATATGTCTCTTGATGAGAGAGGCAAAAATGCATACGGAATGTTGGTGAGGAAATCTCCTGGAAAACAGGCGCTTGGAAGACGAAGGAGGAAGGGAAGGAATAATAATATAAAGATGGATCGTTTAATATCTTAGAGGATTTTCAGTTTTGTTAAACCCAGAATTTTGTTATCACAGCTATTATTTGCCATTGAACTTTATCCTGAGCTAGTTTAATTTAGTTCACTCACTTACACTCCATTCCCATAAGATAAATTTTAATAGATTCTCACTCATGTGTCTTGGTCCCTCCAAATGCCTTCTCTGTAGGATTGTTATGACATTTCACCTTTGTACTCTATTATTAGCCATTGATGTATCTCTTGTTTGTAGGTCGTATCAAAGAATATGACTCCTGTTTCACTTTTCACTGTCATCTTAGGGTACTTTCTTGCCCAAGACCCTTGAATGTCCAATATAATATTATGGTTAGGACCTTTACTTTGTTTTGTGAATGGCTGTTCAATCCATAACCATTTTCTTATATTAGCCTTATCTGGTATTTAAATCTTAAATTATTAGTCAAATTAGAACATTGTCAGTACAGGTTCTGTTGTCATTTACTCTGTGAAGATGGAGGTGATTGTTCCTCCAGCATGGTAACTACCTATAAGACTACATGGCATCATTGCCCAAAAAGCCACAACTGATATATTCAGCATTGTGAGAACCATAAATCTTGGATTAGAACATTGCTCATGGTTATTTAATGTTTAATTAGATATTTATCTACAAATATTACTGCTTATATTCAGTGCCTACCCATGAAGTTTGTTTTACACATGTTGAGTGAGTTAATTTTTTAAATTTATTTCTTTAATATATCTATTTTGTTGCTAGTGCTCTTAGACTTCTGTAAAGAAGAATAGTACAAAAACTCCTTTGGCACATTTATCTTGAATTCACTTTTGTTTTCTAGTTTTGTTGCGAGCATTTTTCTTTGTCACCAATTTCAGTTTATATCATTGTTCTTTTACTTTTACATATAGGTTCTTAGTGTTCAGTAATACTTCTTGAATTCAGATTTTGTATTCCTAAAGTTAGGTAACAGGAGAGGAGCCAGTAGCAAATTGTATTATATTTTATCTTTATCTCAGGTTCTACCAGATATTTATATTTTTTCTGATTCCCTGTTAATAGTACCATCATAAGTATAAGAGGTGAAACTAGGCTTACTTATTTAAGCCTTGCCTTTATATAACTGAATTTAACAATTTTGTATAATTTTATACTGTTTTGATGTATCCACTAAATATGTATTTAATGTGTGACCATTAAACTTTTTTCAAAGTCTTGTGGGCCGGTCTTCATAAACTGTCTTGTAATGTCACCAAAAGCCCTAAAATAGATGCACTATAATTACCTTTTATATTCACTTAATCTCAGGGTATTTGATTTATACAATATAATTTTTTTGTGAATTCTCTTATAGTCTTCTACATTTGCCATCTTTGTTCAGAATAAATATAGGCAGTGTATTATTATATTCTTATGAATTGATTTCTTGGGTATATTTGTCAAGACTTCTGTTTTTAACTTCTGGAACATATTTTTTCTCCCAAATTTGTCTAGGGAATGGTACAGGAAATGTGTTGTAGGTACCAGCTCTTAAATTTTGAAGATTTTGTCTTTGCTTCATGAATTTATGTAAACCATGAATCTTTTGTAAATTTGCCCTTCTTTTATATTGATTTGTTTTGCATGACTTTACCTGTCCCAGATTATCATTTAATGTTTTCTACTGTAAAAATAAAAATACATATGCCACTTCCACATTACATGTGAAGTCTTAAAATGGACAGTTGGATATGACTGACATGTAAGCAGTAAGTAGTAAGTAGTGAATGCAAATTCTCTTTTCAGAGTTGTCTGTGCAAAATGAATAAGAGAATAATGTCTGTATTTAAACATGGTGTAGTGAGAAACATCAACAAGGCATCTCACCTCAGCAATTCAGCAAAGAATGGAAACAAAATTGGCTGAAAACTGTAAGCGAAGCCTCAAGACAAAAGTATATGGTTAAACAGGTTAAATTCCATTTGTCATGGGTGGTGTGTCTGGAAATCTTGTACTTGCAACATATTTTTCTGTTGCTTGAACCTGTGACTTGCTATTGAAAAACATTGTCCACTTTTTAAATCATAGTTAAATTTGATTAGAATTTATGATTTATATTTTCTCATAATATGAACAATTCAAGAATTTTAACAAATTCTCAACTACAGAGTCTTTCCTGAGAAGTTAGTTGCTTATTTGGAAACTATTGTTTGTGTGGTTAAGTTTATTATTATTGTTAGCTCATTGGTGCCCTGGCCTCCCAAATGGCTTTTCTGTGAGTTTACCTAACCAACATTTTTTCTTCTTGTTTTGTTTATCCCATATGTCCTTTCTTTTTGGCTGTCTCAAACTTCCTGTGACATACTTAAGATGAGGTATTTGCTTTATGTCAGAATTTATCTTAGTTATTTGCTTGTGTAACTAGTGACACTTGAATATGAACACTTGCCCAGACAGGCATTTCTGGAAAGAACTTTCTGACAACTTTCATTTAAATGATGCATCTTTTTAGAGAGGCAAGCACAGTTTTAAAAATTATTTAGGAGAGTGGTATGTTTGCTTTTGTATTTTCTGAATGTTCTTGTTCGTAACGTGCAGTTTTTGTGCTCATGCCGTGTTTGTAATTTGAACATACAATGAATATGTGAATGTGAGGCCAGCAGTCAAGCTAGTCGGCTTAGGCTCTCAGAGGGCTGTTACGCCACTGATTATTATTATTATTATTATATGTACATTCATTATCCATTGTAATGCCATATTTACATCCCCTGTGACAGTGGTGCATCTGCAGTTGGTATAAAACAGAAAGGTACATTTCTGCTACGTGGTGTACCTAAGTATACTTGAACTTCTGATTATATTACATGCCAGAAAATTGAACATGTTTTAACAGATACAAGAAGGCACTGAAGTGTGGCATCAGATAATTTAAAGCGGCTGGCTGTGATACCATTGTACAGTGATTATTAAGTCATATTTCTCTCTGAGTACTTCAATTTTTCCATGCCAGTCACCACTCAGCCAGTGTTTCATTCTCATCTTTCATCAACACATCATCATTTTAAGTTCTGATTTTAATAAGTGTTTCCATTTTCAATCCAGCCAACATGATATCAAATAAATACCTGTTGTGTATGGATACATAAGTGTGAATATGAGAGAGAAGCTAATAAACACTTTCTTTAATGTGAAGTGTTCGGAAATGATTTGTGTCTTATCTTACTTTCAATGAAAGGAAAGAGGCGAGTGAAGAATGTAGTCTGAATCTTGATTATAGATCATCACCTCTTTTGAAATATTTTTGTATATAATAAACTTTAATAAGCAATGTTTATTTGAAATATTGGTAACATGAAATTGTATTTGTGAATTTTTAGGTAACTATGAGTGGAAAAATTCTGAAATTATTAATTCTGAAGTTAACTATGAAAAAAACTGAGTGATTACTAACAAATGAGCTGAATAGTGACTTATCCATTTTGTCTGCCTTTTTTAAATTATGTATGTGTGTTATGCACATATTGCATACATAAATTTAAAGGGGAAAAAGTTGTGACCTTAAGTGAACACAGAAATTTTCCTGTGTTCTACTATATTTACAATTACTCTGTTCAAATGTCTGAACAGCATTCCTTGGACTCTTCAGTTTGATAATTGTAGATATTATTTGTTCAATAAAAAGTGATCATAATTAACCTCATTTAGATTTTACAATATGGCAGTGAAGGTTCCTATTTAAAATTTGTTCCTTATTATCCTGATTAAGTTTTTTGATGTTCTTATTCCCTCCAGGCTAATGCCAAGAGTACCTAATTGCTTCCTTCCCATCCATAGCATCAAAAGTACAAATTAGCAATATTTAGCATGAGATTTTGCCCATTTCATTTGTGTGACTGCAGTCTGCTTTGCACATTAACATGGAATGTGACTTCACCTGATTATAGGAAAGATGATAATGTGAAATATGTAGCAGGTGTGCAGCCCACTGTTTGACTGCATGAATATGTTTTTTATTGCATGGTAGACAATATAATGGGTTCACAGTTACTACAACAACATAAAGGAATACTTGATACAATTACTTTCCAATTACATCACTGTGTGATTTATTTTGAACTCTCATATTTTATTTCTTGCTTTCTTAAAAAACAAGTCCAAGTACAAGAACAACAATATGGAGTATACACTTTAATTATACACAGTTTTCCTTTATTCACTTTCAGTGATTTGTGTTGTGTATGATAATATTAAGCTACTCAAAATATTTGTTAAGTGTTGGTTGTCATGTTATTAGCCACAGTTTACATTATGGATAACTTAGAATATTGAATTTTAATTCCTCTGAAATGGCCTTCCGTATCAACAGAAGTTTTAAGATTTGATACAACGTTGTGTCTGTTGAAGGAATATGTGTGTGAATTTATGAAATTTACATAAAGCACTGCATGTAACTTACACTTGATATTACCTATATAGAATGAATTTTTAAATTGGCAGTTGTGTGGTCAAGCTAATGCAGATCCTGTATTGTGGATGTTCCAGCTAGCCAAGCCAGGAGAACCTCTCTACGCTCAAGTAAATCGGGAAAAGAAAAAGAATCGTCAGTATGAAGCAGGTGCACAGCCACAGTATGATGGCCAACTCCCTCCAGGTCCAGGTGACATGTGGGGATATGAAGAACCAGTAAAGGGGATGGTGATGGATGGCCACAGGAGTACTCCGGCTGGCGGGGATTCATGGGTCTGAAACCCAACGATGCACTTTCAGGACACTTACATGCCAACACTGTTTTCTATAATTGAAGTATCGTAACAAGTTGGAAGAAATGTAACAAACCTGTCTATAAGATGGCTGGAAAGTGCTCAGTGTATCCACAGAATTCTGTTTTAAAATTATTAGTGTATATTTTACTGTTGGTACTGAAATGAAGTAACTGTACATATATATTTGTCATTTGAATGGTTACATTGCTTTAAATCCTCCTTCCCCCGCCACCACACCCCTAGTGTGAGGTGTGGGAGCAGTTCTTGCCTGTGTTGGTGAACCACCTGTTGTTGTCAGGTTGGTGAGAGTGCCATCCAAAGACCCCTAATGAGTCTTTTTCTCAGGTTCAGGGTTACTATTGATATGAAACGTTGAGAAATATGTGTGTTGGTGTTAGAATGAGCATTCCATTGATATATATTATATATGTTGTCCTTGTATTGATACAGCTACAGAAGGAACCCACCTTTGTGTTAGTGTTTTATAAGTGTCACTATGGACATGTAAGAACCTCATGGGGAATTGGAAGACAGTATCCATAATTTACCCTCGTGAAACAGTGGTCTAGGTAATATTTGTGTATACCTTCTAAGTAAGACAACAACATTAGTAGTCTACAGCTTATACATGGTATGTAGGTACAAATGATGGTCTTGAAGATTTGTCCCAAACATCTTTGAAGCTATCAGGAGAAACATACTTAGAACTAGTTATACGTGCCCACAGTATGATATATTGGGTTGATCAGCTTGTTTGTTTTGTGTCAGCTGTTGCCAAGATTTGAAACATTGCAAGTGGCTGGAATGAATTTGGGATAGATGTGTTGATCCTTGTAAAATTTTAAATCTGTACAAACTCTAAAATATGGTGTCAACTGGCCAAACCAAAGTTTGCGGATTTTTTTACAGTGTATATGGCAGAGGTTAGTCTCTGGGATCTTACTTACATTAGAAGCTCTGTTATATCTGTCACTTGTTACTTCTGCCCCCAAATACAGCTGGTCCTTTTGAATACATGTATTTCAGTTGTCAGAATTTTAGTTTAGCATTACATTGTACTTTTCTATGGATATTATAGCTTTTACTTGGTATTATTTTATTGTACACAAATTTCTGCATTGCACAAATGATGGTGAGTCGTGACTTAACTAGAGGTAGGCCTACAGTCTCATCCCTTTTACATAACAGTTAGGACACTGCATTTCAGATGCCTCAACAGAATTTTACCCTTTCACAGCATTTTAATTGTAATAACTGAAATGGTGTGTAATAACTTGTTAGGTGACAGAACTCTGTTCTCAAATGATATTGAGAGATGTGTAATCTTACAAAACAGAACTTAGTTCTTCAAACACTGGAGAAAAATCTACATAAAATAATGTATGTTCCTAGTTTTTCAGCTATTTGTTCTTGGAAAGTGAAACTAATCTGAATGATCATGATCTGCTGCGTTTCAACAATGTGCAGTCATTTTTGTGGTTACTAGTGTGTTTTGGGAGAGCCTGCTCCATTTCCCTTTTACCCTGAAGTAGAGGCAGCAGGTTCCTCCAAAAGTTTGATAACTTTCTAAGTAACTGTGTGGTGTTGCAATGTGGATCACAGTCTAAATTTTCACCACCATAGAAACCTAAAATCTCATAATGTTTGTCTTGGTGCTTGTGAATGTATTATATGTGATTTGAAAATGTTATTTATTACATGCCGTCTGAAGTGATTTGCTCCTTTCCAGAGTGTAAGGGTAACATTTTCTCATACAATCACAGAACTTTGCAAGTGCCTAAGTAGATTTTTCCATAGTATTTTATTTTATTCAAAATATACTTAATTGCATACACATTCTAAAATAAAATGCAGGCTTTGAAATGAGATTAGGCCTTTCTTACTTTGTGGTTGTAAAATTTATACCAATGAAAGTAGTTTGAAACATGTTACATTTGCTTGTTGCTTTGAAGTTTGACAAATTTGGAAGTTTTTGAGTATTACTTCACTATGTTGAGAAGTAAAATAAAATGCTAGCTTTTTATTTTAAATTTCTGATTGTGTACTGTACATTGAGATTGGATTAAGTTCAGTTGGCACTCTGTATAATGTTAAATTGTTTTACATAGTTTATTTGGGGCAACAGTTGTTGTAAAATAAACATATTGTAAAAGTGTATACATAACATTAGTGCCCACAGAATTTATAATACTTTTCTTCTTCTTTTTCTGTAGATGATATTTAAGAGAAACCTATCTTCAGGCATCCATTTTGAGTTTGAAGTTTTTGTGTTTGATAGGCAGCTTGAGAAACTAAGTGCATTTATCACAATTTAGTTGCTAAATTGACACATGAATAAGTTTGAATTACATGTATACAGATGTTAAAACTTTGCTCAGAATTTTATTTATTTATCTGTGAAAGACTAATATGACAATATAGTGAGATTTTATATTGAAGTTAGTATGTGTTTATTCTTTCATTTTAGTGGGGGCATTGGTGTTTGAGCCATATTTAGTACAGATATATTCATGTGAGAATTAGTATGTTGGTTATTTTGTATTTCAAAATGTATGCCTAAGAAAAGGACTCTGATCAAAACTGTCAGCACAGAAGTATATAGAGTGTTTTATTATATATGTGAACAGAAAAATCTTTGAATTAAGAGTCTCAATAAAATTTGTGCTATTGAGTATATTTTAATTTTAATAGTGGGTTTAAATTCTCTTCAGTTGGTAAATTTTATCATGTTTGAGGTCCCTTTTCTTTTCTGATTTAGTTTGATTAGTATTAGGGTATTTGTAATTGTGGAAGGTTCCATTCCATGAATGAACAGATATTGTAATCATAATACTAACTGGCATTGAAACTCCAGTATGTACATTCAAATCATGTTTCTATAGCTCATGTGAAGTAGACCCATATTGAAATGATGGTGAAATGAGAATTCAGGATCTGCAAATAGAATTTTATTTTAAATATTTTAATAATAGTTACTCAGTTCCTTGCAAATTGAAAATGGGCATTTTAATTTCTCTCCTCTTGGTGGTCTAATCAGATTCCAGTAGAGATGAGAGTTTCTTCTGCAGCATCTCAAGAATTTTATTTACATTTTGTTCAGATTGGTATGAGGTACCATATAACTTTTAGTTAGTCCTATATCATGCGCAGGATGTTCATAGCAGTTACTTCATATATGTCTGTAGGTAACAGCAGCACAAGTATTTGCTGACACAAATTGACCAGTATCTGCACATCAAAAAGTTTGTGATGTTTCAATAGTGTTTCTCATTTTTACTTAAGTATGTTCATGGAGGATTTGAATGAGATCTAGAAATGATCCATGAGAATGTGACTAAATATATTTCAGAAAGTGTTAAAGATTATTAAGAGACATGTAATTTTGATTTTTATTATAACTTGTTCATATTTCCTGGATGATTGTATTATATATGTGTGTCAGTTATTATGTTGCCAGGACCAGAGTACATACAAATGTGTTGGAAGACAAATAGGTACATGGCATTTTTTATGTTTGTGTCTCTTCTGAACATCCAGTTCACATTGTTTTCCTATTACAAGTAGCTAGTAATGTCTCTAGACTTGTAATCCAAAGCTGGTTCTATGTTTTGGTGTTAATTGTAAGTATGCATGTGTTTTGGTTTGTGAATGTCATAGCTACATTTCAACCAACGTTTTGGACAGTACTGTGGTTCTACTGCCCATTTATTTTCAGATAGGGTGTTCCATTCAAAACCGAGTTGTTGAGAATAGCAGCCATTTAACGTAATGTGGTATGATCTGTTCATTGGTTGGTATCTAATACCCCCAAAATATGGCCTATGATGACCTATCCTGGCCTCAACTTACCCTGGACAAGTCTATAATCCATTTCTGTGGTGTGGGGACACTGATAAATAGAAATCTTTTTAAAGGTTTCTGATGATGGTGTAATACAATCTGGATTGTTCAGTTTCTGGACTTTGTCCATCTTCTGGTGTTGTAAAATTACACATGGTTTCAAGAACTGGACTTGTCCTCATCTTCAGGTGTGGAGGTGAAGGGCACCTGCTCTGTGGAGTCTGTTAGAATGAGCTAATCTCAGTCACTGGATAACCTAGGTTAATCTTATCTCCCATTGACATAAGCTGATCTCAGGTGCTCATACATTTGTAGATGTTTTGACCTAAGTTGTCCAGTGATTGAGATTAGCTCATTCTAACAGACTCCACAGAGCAGGTGCCCTTCACCTTCACCACACCTGAAGATGAGGACAGATCTGGTCCTTGAAATGTTGTGTAATTTTTGACATCAGATCATGTACAAGTTCCAAAAACTCAACAGTAAAGGCTGATAGGTAGATTCAATCAGACAGCAATTATGGAGACTCTTGTTAGCAGAGGGGAGCTGTAGTTTAGGTGCTGTCCTGGTGTATTTCACTTTTGCAAAGTTCTATGTGGCAGAATTAAGACTTTAGTAGACTGTTATCAGAAAATTTTCATGCAGATCTTACTGGGAATCAAACTCAACACCTTGACAATCCATCATCTTAGACCACCATATAATGGCTGAATGCTCCATGTTCACCATAAGGAGCTCAGGGCATCTGCTCATTCTTCACTTTTGATACAGAGGATGCAAACTGGCTTTTTATAGGTTTAGAAATTATGTTATCTACACAACCCTTTTCCAATACCACAGATGTGAAGAATATGAGTTTGGTAAGTTTATTTTACAGGAAGCTATTAACTTTATAGATTGTCATCTTACATGTCACTTGTTTTAAATATAATATGAATTCTGTGTTCTTACAGTCTCATTACATCCAGCATGAGTGCTGGCTGTTACAGGTGTACTTGCATAAAGTATCTGAACATTGTCCAAATTATATATGCTTTGCTGTAGAAGTTTATAATAATACAACATGCTAACCCTACCAGTGAACATGAGCAGATGGCCACAGTATGAGAGCAGTGTGTTGCACATGGATATATATGCCCCTTTGCTCTGTCTGTACAAATTTACCTGTCATTTTCATTTGCAAGGTGGCCTATGAAGCTCAATTTTAATAGAAGAATTCTTGATTTGGGTTCTGTGAATGCTGAGAAAAATGCAGTATTTAATATCTGCCCAACAGAATGCAGACTGCTAACCAGCAAAAGGTTTCTTCATGGCAAGTGGATGGGGAAATTATGTATTTCTTCCCTTTTCACAATTTTCTCTTAACTTTATTCTAGCATGTAGTCCTCCTTGCTAATTGTATTACAGTTGTCATCTCTGGAATTTGCAGCTGATGTCTTTTGGAATAAGCCAGTGAAGTAATAAATGCTCAAATTTTTGTTTCAATTATACAAGTCCCACCATACATACATACAACCTGTCGCATTGAAAGAAAACTTCTCTGGGTTCAGTTAACCATAGTGGAGTATCCAAAATGGCAAGGAAGGTTATGTCATATGTCATGGGAAAATTTCTTCTGTTCCCAGTTTTAATGTGGGTGACCATATCTTTATCTTGTATATTAATGTGTAATTATTTCTGTTCAGATCATTAATAGTGATTAATTATTGTTATTAATGTTAATATTTATGATTAATGTTTATAACAATAATTACTGTCATGATTCATTATTAATAGCATTTGTTTTTAATATAACTAAAGTGAATATCTATAACCAAAATGCAAGGGGAGATGTTCGCCTTTAAAACTCTAGATGTAGGCTGTCAACAGTAAAGCAATATTTCATCTGTCTGTATTTTTTTTACAAAATACCAACTTTAGTAAAACCTCTCTATAATGAAGTTGAGGTATCTGAACTTTGTTATATTGAGATATCTTGCATGTAGGTTCATAAAATAAAATCAAACATCTTATCATATAATTCCTTTACTGAATTTTCACATTTAAGATTTCCAAGAGTTCCAATACAACTTCAGTATTTGGAACATAATTAATTTAGGGCTTCTATATTCCTATTTTGTGGAATGCAGAAGACCTATCATTACATTACATTTATTTTTGTATGTAATGTAAATTTTCTGTACACTCTATCAAATGCAGTTGTGAGCAGTTATTATGTGGGCTACTTACACAGATGATGCAGTAAAAAATTTCACCTGCTCAAGTACAGAAGAAGGTTGTAGTTAGAAAAGACTGTTGTCGGGAACCATCTAGTGTTTGAAAGATAGTGTATAAACAGTATTAAAAAGTTCATTGTTTGAATAAAGTCTTCTAGTCCATATTGGAGTGAATACTTATAGGAAATTTGTGCTGTAATTTTTTAATGTGTGGTTTGTGTTTATTAGAATGGCCAATGAGGATGGTGGATTCAATATCCAAAAAGTTCATAAGACTGGGCAGATGATAGTTCAGCATGATTGAAGTTGAATGTGTTACGCTATAAAGTGGTTATGGAAAGTGACCTATAGTCTAACATTGTAGTTAAGTTGAAAATGTTACTAACAGTCATAGATTGGTAAGTATGCGGGTGTTTGAATTTTCCACCATGCTTATTATGACTAGTTACTATAAGGCTAATGCCTTCACCACTTTATGGAGCTCCCACAAGCAATATTTGCATGTTACCGGATTTATTCTGTTATATTTAATGGTGTAGGGGCAGTACTGAAGGTTTGTAAAGTGGTTCAAGAAACAGTCGGTTTGAAATATATTGTGCAAACAGGCGTCAGTTTTATTATGCTGTCTAGTGTGAATATTGTACAGTTTATTTTCTGTTGTAGTTCTGTCATAGCGGGCGCATAAAGCCATTTTTGTATTTATTTTACAGCCTATTTAACTTTCTAAGTCGCTATTTAGAATGGTTTTCTTTTATTACATAATTATTATTGTACGTAGGTTAAGGGTAGAAAGCGATGCTTATGAGATCACCCCCTCCCCCCCCTGAGTGCCAACTTATGTCCATGGAATACTCTGCAAATTGGGTAAAGTCTTTTTACGCAAGTTGGCTATACAATATATTCATCGTGTCGTAGTAATCTGTGATGTCAACGAGTTTATGAAACCTGCTTTTATTTATATGTGCATTGGGCAGGTGAAGTTTGGTGGAGACCACAAGAGGGCTATGCTGAGATTGTGTCTGTAGTGGTTCTGTGTACGAGTTTGAGAACAAAATGGTGTCACATTAAGGATTATGCAGAGTAGTTTCTTATACGTAAATTTCAAATATTTCGTTGGTGGTGTATTAGTATTCGTTTCGATAAGGAATATTAAAGAGTGACATAACATTCTTTACTTCTATGGAGAGTACTGAGAATTATTCGCGTGTGGTTTGATTTCTTGTAACTCCTTATGTTTATATCAAGAATAGTGATTATCTTTCGCTTGATGAATTTCTTGCAGTTATTCATAATTTAATGTCGAAATATAGACAGTGTGCATTGAACATTCAATGATGGAGGTTTCCGATTTAGGAAGATCTATTTCGAGTCTTTTGGGAAGTAGTTCTCATTTACATTCTGAGAAGGAAAAGGAAGGTAAGATTCCTGGAATGGGCAGGACATGATTGATTAGGAAGTGATGAGAAAGGGTTGTTGAGGTATATTTTCGTATCTTTACCAGTTTTAGAAGTACAATGTTTGTTTTAAAGGGCATTGTGTTGAATTCTAGAGGATAAATATTCAATGTGACATTACTTCAGAATGTCAGCTGCGTTACGTGGAGCATTAAGCAATATTGAACTAATTTATGCAAAGACGTAGTTTGCAGTATTAATGTATTTACAAGTTGGCATTATGTTACGTAACGCACAATAGGTCAGATTTAATAGTAGTAGTAAAGTGCCCATCTGGCCATTTCATTTTGTTTTCTTCTCAAATAACAAGCAGTACAATTTTATTTCTACTATACTAATCAGGCAGTTACACATTTCTTAGTAGTAGTCACATGTGCCTGCATGTACTGTGGAACGTATTCGTAAACATGCCCATTTTCGTAACCAAGAACATTGTTATACGGAATTATAGGGCATTTGTGTAACTAATTCAGAGCATTTGTATATAATAAATCGTCATTTTATGCAGTAGTTTCCCTTCAGAAATTAAAATAGTAGTGTTCAGGTGGTCAATAAATGTTCAGCTTTTATTGTTTCTGTAGGTTTATTACCATATTCACAGGGGCCTGGCATCTTTGACTATTTTAATATTTTCCATACCCTAGTTCAGAGTTCTCAGTCTGCAAATGTTATATGTTTGGTGCAGTCTGCATGTATTTTATGTAATATGCTTCCTGTGTTGGTCCATATGATGAAAAATGTTTTGCTAATATCAAGAAACATGATTTTGTTGTTGTTAGTATTTGGCAGTAACTATCACTGTGAAGATCTGTAGGCTATAGCATAATGAAAAATGTCAAAATAAGAACTAGGATGTGATGAAACGGATGCATGTAAATAGAGGGTCTATGTTATATAAATAAATTCTATTCTAGCAATAACAAAAACTAAACCTTTGCAGAAAGACTACTGAAGCAATAGCTGTTACTTTTCTCTTGAATGACTGATTTGTTAATGAAAATTATTGAGTAATATGTGAACCTGTTTGTGATAATATGCTAGTAACATCTTTAAGAAAGTGCTATGAAGTTTCAGTAAATTGTCCTGATTTATAACCTTGTTGTCATTGAGTCTGTAAGTAAGTGTGAATTTGGCCTTCAGTCTGGAGAAATTTGAGAGACCCCCATTCTGTTCTTTAAAGTCTGTTTTTTTAACATTATCCCATTTATTTCTATGTGTTCAAATAGTCTCTGGGTTTTCTAAGATAAATTTTGTGTGCATTTATCTCCTGTGTGCATACATGCTCCATACATCTCTTGTTCCTTGATTTGATCACATTTGTAATATTTTGTGAGAAGCTCAAATGATGTTTATAATTATTAAATTATACCATTCTTTTTTTCCTTCCACCCTGGGTCCACATATCTTTCTCAGTATTTTGTTCCCAAACATCCTGTGAACTAAAATAAAATGTTCTGACCTTACCTGTAATATCAGGGAATGATTATTTCTTCTTCACATTTCCTTGGAGATAAAAGCCAAGGGGAAATTAATGGTTTTTATTCATGCAGCACATACCATTGTTGTCTGTAATACTTACCTGTGCTGAAGCATTGCCATTCAAAAAGAAAGTGGCAGTTTTTTCATCTTCCACTAACTGTCCAGAGAAAGGTTTGTCCATGTACTGCATGCATTTTATAGGATGTGATTTGCACAGGTTCGAGACAGTATTCCAGTTTTGAGCTTTTGTGGTTGGAATGGTGTAATAAGTTCTATATTTAGGGAAGACCCAGTCCTGGTGTTTATACATAATAATGTATGGTAATTTTATTTAATTCCACTTAAACTTAACCCTTTTCTCTTTTCAAAGGACATTGTGATTCGTTTGAGAGGTCATATCGTGTTGGGAACATTCTTGGCAAAGGTGGTTTTGGAACTGTTTATTCAGGTGTTCGTGTTCATGATGGAGTGCTAGTAAGTAAAACTTTTACTGTAATAGTATGGCAAATGGCATTAGGGTACTTGTATAATAAAGTAATGAGTCCAAAATAAAGTGATAAGTCATGCTGAGTGGTGATATTCAGCAATGTAAAATGCATTGTAGAGTGTCAGCTAGCACTACTTAAATCTGACAAGTAGCAAGTCAGTTTTTCTTTCTGTCATTCAGTGGTAAAGCATTGATTATTTGATTATTATTAATAAAATTTGAAAATTCAATTGAATTGTTGTTATATGAAAGAAACCACACCAGTTCTGTATTACATTAGTTCTTTGGTTAATGCTATTTAACCATTCGAAGCTGAAGTTTACCTAAATAATATTTAAGAACTCAGTCTGTTCCTCAAAGAGAACACAACAGAACACAACACTTCATCATTACTAAGATCAGCTGGTTAATGGTTAAGGAAGTCATCACTGTTCACAGTGAGAATCATACAAGACCTGTAAATGAAAATGCTCATTTACTGATTTTAAACCAAGTGGTACATATAGTTCCCGCTGGGCTCCATCTGAAAATTATGCATAACCCATAACTAACTGTTTATAAAATGCAGAGTTATGAAAGGTGATATACATAGTTACCATAAGGTTTTAAAGAGTTCATATTTTGCAGGTATACAGCCTTGTACTGTGTACCATAATGTACTCTGAAGACACATGGTCATGTGTGCCCAAATTCTTAATGTTGAATGCAAATGTGCTCACTTTACTTTAAACACTCATTTCTTCCTTGATTTATCATGTTGATTGTTGTGCTACTTCACATAGCCTATGAAATGTGCTTTTCAGCCATTTCATTGTTATAATCCCGCAGAACAGTAGCCACACTCATTTTCAATTATGTGCAGATATTTATGCATGTTTGTCAAAGGATTAATTAAAAGTACATAGAGGAAAGGAAATCATTTTTGCTCACAAGAGTTTGCTTTAATAAAGAATTGATTTAATTATTCTGTATGATTGTAAAGGTGAACAAGTTTCTTTTTGTATGTTTGTGTTGTCCTAAGAAATGGTTGGTATTAACTGAATTGAAAACTGCTAGCAAGTATTCCAGTATGCTATTGTGCTGTGAATATATGGTTTAATTCTCTGGTTAGGAACAAGTAGGATGAGGAACATTATGCATGTTGATCAGTGCAGGAGTTTGAAAAAATAATTCCTAAATTGTGTGAAACTGTTTCACATGCTTAAACTTGATGTGTATTCTTATATTAGTAAAGTTAGTTTTATATACATGTCTTGGAAGTGATTTTGAATCACCGTAACCATGAAAATGCTTTCAAACAATAATTAAAAGTATAAATACATAAAATTTGTTTTTGTTCATTTCAGGTAGCAATAAAGCAAATTGCAAAACTGAAAGTAACAGATTGGATAGAGGTAAGTATCCAGCATTTTACCTGGGGTTTGTTGTGATATACATTTACAGATTGTTCAAAATTTGGTGATTTTTCTTAAATAGTGCCATTCTGTGTTACCTATTGTACAGTTATGTTTAACCTCTCAGTTCCACGTAGTGTATGATTGCTTTGGTAATGCTACTAGCTTTGATCATCTATTCCATGATTATTTTTTAAGATTTAATTTGAATGGTATGCACTGAAAGATGGAAACCTGAACTTTTTATATCATTTTTTGTAATCAGTAATTATGGTATAGAAAGTTAAATATTCTGCCATTTTTTCCTGGACAGCTATTTCTGTCTGACTGCCAGGTGCTCTGCCACACTAATGTTTGGTAGTGTATGCATCTTGGAGAAACTTCTTCAGCTGAATGGAACCAGTTGTTATTGTCAATTTGAAAATACTGCATATTATGCATTGTTGACATCTGCAGTTTTATCTGAAACATTTTGTTTTACAGCCAGGTTAAGATGGTTTTATATGAAGGCAGTTGACAAGAGCTTAGAAAATTTCCTTTGTGTTCTTTATTAATTGACCGTGTTAAATTTTTAATTGAAGTGTGAGCTGTTGAAATAATCAGTTAGTTTTTATAAGAGGTAACATGGTTTGTATAAATATTAACAAGGAGAATTTTGAAGATGACTCAATCTTCTGGGATGTTTTGCATTGTAGTCTTGTTGAAGTTGACTGACATTACAGAGGTGTGTACTGCCTCCATCATCATGGCCTTTACATCATGACAGTAGAGGCAACATGCACCTCAGAAACATCAGTAAATTTCTAGAAGACTAAACAGTGCAGCATTCCAGAAGATTGAGTCATCTTCATGCTCGCTGCTGTGAGAACGTTAAATCTCACAAGGATATCTTTGTACATTACTATCATGATTGAATGTAATGTGAATTCAGGAGGTCAAATTGAGGCACTAAGAAACATTTTGTTTAATTCAGAGTGGCAGATATAAAATACTTTCCTTCCTTCTTCCCCCCCCCCTCTCTCTCTCACACACACACACACACACACACTCATTCACTCACTCACTCACTCATTATCTCACTCTCAGACACACAGACATTCACTTCCTTCTGTATTACCAGTTAAATGCTGAGGTTTTTATTGAAGGATTTGAGGTTTTCAAGGCAGTGAGTCTTCAGGGTTTTTTATTTCTAAGTTTCTCCACCTCCCCACCTCTCTTTTCCTAATTCTTATGTTTACTTGCATAACTTGTGAATTGGAAGTAAATATGTTCTGAACAGTAGAATATGGTAATTGTGTTTAGATTAATGTGAATAAAATCCTTCATATTTTATTTATTTGTTTACTTCCCAGTCTGGCATTAAAGTATGTATAGCATGAAATTGGTTGGGTGGAAGAGTATAGGATCAGTTTATGTTGCTTATGCTTTTAAATGCAAATATTGCTATAAAAGGCAGTGGTTGGTATAAAGATTGTTGTTTGTTAAAATATAAAATACTAAAGTCTTATAGTTACGTGTTTTTCTATTAATTGTATCTAATGGTTTGTAGGTTGGAAGTCAGCGTGTTCCATTGGAAGTTTGTTTGTTAAAGCAACTCACCCACATTCCTGGTGTAATTAAACTTTTGGATTATTATGAGCATTCTGACTGTTGCATCATCATCATGGAACGCCCAGACCAGGCCAAAGACTTGTTTGACTATATCACTGAAAAAATCTGTCTCAAAGAATCTGTAGCTCGTGGCTTCTTCAAGCAGGTTGTGGAAACTATCATACAGTGTCACAATGCTGGTGTTATTCACAGAGATATCAAGGTTAGTACTGAACATTTTGTGTGTGTGTGTGTGTGTGTGTGTGTGTGAATATGTGTGTAGTTATGATAAAGTGATTGGTATGCAGAGAAATTTTCTTTGGGAAATATGAACATTTTAGGTTATGTACTGCAAGTTTGATTCAAGTCTGAAAAGCATCTGTTGTATTTATACATATAAAATGTTCTGCTCTTGCAAACATGTTTTTATGACCAGTAGTATTGTTAATCATAACTAACTGCATGGAGCAGGGTCTCTCTTTTGAAGTTGCCAATCACTCTGCTAGTCAAGTAATTCCCCCACCTATCATGGAACCTGGAGGTTCATTACCATGTTTTCAAGAGTTTTGCATGAGTGAGTCAGTCCAGTCCATGCTTGACGCTGGTTCCTTAAAATCAATTTTAATATCATCCCATTTGCACCGAGGTCTTTCAAACAGTATCTTCGCTTCAGGCTTTCCAACCAAAATTTTGTGCACATTTCTCATTTTCCGCATGTGCTATATGCCCTGCCCAACTTGTTTCCCTTGATTTCATCATCATAATAGTGTGACTTTTCTTTTCAGAGTATTGCAAGAATAATGTCACACCAATGGCCTCTTAGCTTACTTGTATATATATGGCAATCCTGTCTCTAACAAACTCTATCCTCTTAACCAGTTATATGTGAAAATGTCAGTTCCTAAGTTTTAATTAACATTTCTGTTGCCATAAAAAATGGATAGTTTTCTGCTGTTTTAGTACCACGCCAATTCAATCTGTCTTCCTATATTCCCATTAAATATGGCTTATACTTTGCTAATTTTATTGGTGCTAAGTAGGATTTGAGGCTTCCATGGCAGTGTATATGAAGATGACTGTCTGGGTTGTTGTATTGTGTAGTCTCGTAAAAGTTTACCAATGTTTCAGAGGTCCTTGCTGCCTCCGTCATCAGGGAGATAATGCCTGATCACCCTTATGATGGAGGTACATCGGTAAACTACTGCCAGACTACATGGTGCTACTATCCAGAAGATAGCTATCTTCTTTCTCTTGGTACTATTTTCAAGAAGCCTGACCTATAGAAATTCCCAGCAATTAGTTCCAAGTCTCATGTCCATTTTCTGCCACTTAGGTTATTTTCAGCCCTTATTGACTGTTACTGCTCATTGAGCATATTGGCATCTATCCTCTATGTCTGGAGGTTTTCTCCTTCATACATAATTTGAGCTGTGCTGTGGTGACATTGGATTTATTTATGTGATGATACACAGATTTACTAGACGAGAACAAGTAAAATGTTCAGATTGACTTTCAGGCTGTAGTTTCACATTTTTGCATTTTGTATGAACATTTCAGGTTTCAAAGTATTCTGTATTATGAAGTTTGCAGATCATAATGCAGTAAATTAATTTACTTATTTATATTGCATATGCTTCTCTGTCAGTGTTTGGATCACTTATTAGGTATTAGAATAGGTCCATGATTTAGTTTTGTATGATTGAATTAGAACTGCCAGATGATCCCTTGAACATTTCCTTGGAGAAAAATGGTTAGAAACAGAAATGTTTTTATGAGAACACTGAAGAAAGGGACAATCAAGGCCCATGTCTGGAGGAGGGAGAGCATTTAATGGAGTGTTATAGATTAAAATGGTAAGAACAGCACTGTTTTATTGTGTGTGCACCTCATAAATACCCATGTTTGAGGAACTGTTCTTTATTTCCTTTACAGATTACTGTGGTTGAAATCAGTAAGAAAAGGTTTTTTAATGTCTGCCTGAAATATGAGATGACATCTCCCAGGGCCAAAAATTGAGATAGGGGATGGAGATATTTGTTATGAATAGTATATTGTAGAGAAATGTAGTAAGTTTCAAAAATGCTCCTTGTGCTAACAGACTACAGAAATATTGTTCAGATGGCAGTGACCAAAATTAGTGCCAGTTTGGTGTCTGCTAAATGGTAGATACTTATTTCAGTTAGAACATTGCACATGTTGTAGTGTGTTAGCTGGTTGCGAGAAAGCAAATGATCCAGTGTTGCGGGTTGGACTTCACCCAAATCATCTTTTGAAGCAAATTGTGCAGATATGCTAGTTTGGAATAATATTTGTTCATTTGATACAACATATGTTAAAATGTTAATGACCAGTTTCACAATGCTCACACCTCAGACGGTGAGGAGTGTTTTAAGATTTGTGTTAGAAAGTTGAAATCCTAATTTTTATACAATTTTTGTTGTCTTTTAATTTCAGGATGAAAACATACTTGTTGACTTAAAATCCCATTCCTTGAAGTTAATTGACTTTGGCTCAGGTACTTACTTGAAAGACAGCATCTACACTGACTTTGATGGTAAGTATCTCCACATTGCATTCACTGATAAACCAGAATGTGATTGTGTTAGTCCCTGCCAAGCACTACAAGATATTCGTAGTACAAGTCAAGTATCGCTCAGTAAGGACAATAAAAACAATTTACCAAAATGAATGAGGTGCTGAAAATGAAGTCTCTGTGACAGTTGCATTCCAGTTTATTAGTGAAGAGACTGTTGTAAATGAAATTGTTTTTCTGAAGTCCTAATGATTATAATTGTTTGTTTACATTTATCCTGCATTTTTCTCCCTTTTATAAGCATGATTTGTTTGTAGGAGTGTTTTATACAAATACATTGTAGTATTCCACCCAAAAGTTCGGATTTAAAATGGAATTGATCACTCCATGCTGTTACTTTTGTTGAAGACCCAAGTTAATTTTTAATATCTGAAATAGTATTCATGTAATAGTGTTATTCTCTTGATCAGGTGAATTCTTACATAATAATCTCTTCAGGAGAGTTGTGTATTAAGTAATTTCCCCATGATTCAACTTTTCTTATAGCAGAATGAAGTATTCATATTTAATTGGTGTATGTATACTTGTAGGAACACGTGTGTATGCACCTCCTGAGTGGATCCAGTATAACCGATACCATGGTCGCAGTGCAACTGTGTGGTCCCTTGGAATTTTACTGTATGGAATGGTTTGTGGAGATGTTCCATTTGAACAGGATGAAGAAATCATGCAGGCAGCTGTTCATTTCCGTACACAACTCTCAAATGGTTTGTATTCATTTGGGACTTGGTACAAGACATTACACATTTTTCTTTGGACCAGGAAGTGGCCTGTAACTTTAGGAGCCAGACAGTTTTTTGGCCTTAGGGTGTTTATATTTTAATACTGGCAAAAGGAATGAAACATGCCACCAATGAATGGAATAAATTACCTTTTGATGCATCTTTTAGCAAGCTTGCAACAAGGGAGCATGTTTGCCTTTCACAAAATAATTGTCAGTTGAGGTTACAGTTTTTTTCCAACTCTTCTCTTCAATACATTTAGATAAATAAAAAAAATACTGTTCTGATTTTGCATTGTGATATTGATTGGATAGATTGACAGAGACTTGGAGCTAGTAGTTTAAAATGTAATCAGAAGTTTTCATATGCTGCTGCAGTAATTTTCTTTATGAATAAATGCCATAGTTGAGGTACAGAAAGTACATCAATCCAGTGGACAGCCATTTGCACACTAATTTGGAAGACACATAATGCCCATATGTAGAGATCTGTGTTATAACTGTGAAGTGAGTTATTTTAAACAATAATCTCCTGTGTTCCAGATTGTCAAGACCTGATACAAAAGTGTCTGCAGATTCGTCCAAGTGATCGCCTACATCTGGAAGACATCCTGCAGCATACATGGATGAATTGTAATTTAGATTCATGTGCTGACAACACAGGGTCTTTGACTTGTGTTCGTCCTACTAGGCGAAACTCTGTAGATCAGCATTCCTTGGACCAGGCTTCCACATCATCTCAGGAAAGCATTTGACCACACTGTATTCACTAGCTGTAGACTTAATTTTAGTATTAATTAGTAATGTAGTGTCATTTAGGGAGAGATACTAAATGGGAAAGGCCTCATAATGGCAGTGACCCACAATTGGCTGTGATGAATGTAACTCTTTGCCTGAGCTCCCACCGTGACAAAATGAATTAACCTCGCCCTTTCTCCGTACTTATCCTCTCTCCATTGGTTTATATATATATAACACTTTCACTTTAGGATATTTTTTGGAAGTTCTGCTTCATTCCCATAATTTGATGTGTAATATAGTTGGCTTACTATTGTATATTATATATTAGATCGTGTTAATTTATTAATATTATATTGCTACCGTATTGCTCAGGCAGGGTTTTGTGTGCTGACTTACAGAAATATTATTTGGGCACACTTTTTTCAGACCCAGAATTTGGTTAAAGTAATTGTCTAAAATGTTGACCTTGAAGTGTCTTACACTAGACACACACACAGTACACACCACACATACACAAAATACATGCTGCCCAATTTTTCAATGAACATTGTAGAGAAGTGTTATGGTAAATGTAAGTCTAGTTTTTGTGACTAAAATTCAAGTAGGAGTTGAATTTTTAGTAGTTTGTATGTGTGATTTTGTACATTGTTATGGAAGGACTTAACTGGGATTGCACCAAATACTTGATGGCTGAATTATATTCGGCCGTGCTCACTGAGAAGTCATATGTCATCATCATGGTTTCATAATCTGGCAATAATGAACTTTTTAGCATTTTTGACACTAGTTGTGGTACGTGTTTTTCTTTGTTTTCAGTGGTGTTAATTTTTGTAAAATTTGCTAAGAGTTTAGTAAGAACTTTGTAATGAATCTTACAGCTTTCTTATGTTACCGTAACCAGCTTGTCTTGAGCATTAAAATCTGTAGTTTTTAGTAAATTAATTATTTATGACACTCATGGCATCATTACAATTGAATATAATAATTTTAAGTATTGTAAATCAGTCTATTTTTAGTTGACAGAAAATTTAAGAGGTCAGTTTCAGATTTTGTTAGAAAAGCTGTGACTTTCAGAAATATCTTATTTCTGTGGTTTGTTTGTCTTTCTAGAGTTAACTTTATATTGCAGTAATAATGTGTGAATGGTGTTCAAGTCTGACTGCATACATTTAAGTCTCTTAGGTCTGCCAAGACAATTTTAAACTTTTGGCTGCATATGCCTTATGGAACCAATTGTCATTTTATATTTTCACAGCCATGTTCAAGAGCAGCATTTATTTGCACATATTTTTAAAATGTTATTTGTATACTTATTCAGATCATGGAACACTGTTAAAAGTGGCAACACCAACCTCGTTTCTTGTGAATATGTGATGTGATTGATGATTTGCTGGAGTTTATAATTTATTTTAAATTAGTGCTCTATGTTGAACATCAGATATTTAAAATGGTGCAACACTTTTGAGAATTTTCATGTTGTTTGACAAGTGCCTATTAATTTAATTGTGTTTGTATGTTACTACAGAGTATTTGGTGCATCCATGTTTTTTCAGTCTTGCATACATTGGTATCAGCGTCAGATTTTACACCTTATGATTACAGATAATTGCACATGGCCATGACTGAACATCTCTAAATTATAAATTTGTATTCAAAGCTGTTAGAACTGCGTAGAAAACACTGCCATTGTTCCTTTATAATATAGACAGCTATGGTGCTATAGAAAAAGATTTCCATGTTCTATATTAATAACAGCTAAAATATCAATTGAGGCAGAGCATATGTTCCAGTGTATATTCCATTGCTTACATAGTGTTGTCTCAAGTCTTCATTGCCATGAATGATGTGAGCGTAACGTCGTGCGAAGATGCGGGTAAATTACTCATGGTATAATGAAGTTTAAATGTCCTGTGCAGCTATATTATTAATTTCTTCGCTTTAAAAACTGTGTATCATGGGAGTTTAAAGTTATGTCTAAAAGCTGCAGATACAGATGTGAGGTCTTCCTTTGTACTAGTACAACTTCTCAGATTTTATGTTGCTCAGCATGATGAAAAAGTTCTACATGCCTGGGTAATGGGATATTTTCATATTTGCTGCATGATTGACCTCTTTGAATGGAACCAGATATATGAATTCCAACATAAACAGGTATAATTAGTGTTTGTTGAATAGTAGAATTTGCCAGAGGCATTATTTACACACTTCAGGTGAAATCGCACAGCAGTTTGATATTTGCTACATTGTCAAAGATGATTTTATAATATAATATAAACAAGAAGTTTGAATTATTTGTAGTACTTGGAGAACCTTTTAAGCATAACTTTAAGTACTGTGTACAACAGGCAGTTTGGAAAATTAATGATGTACCTTGCATAAATTAATCAAAAATACTACTGAAAGAATCTTATAGTAAGAACTAGATTTTCATTTTAAAATTATCTTATGACCATCAACTACAGTAAATCCATAAGTTTCTATTTCCTTCATTGCAAACCTCTCTCACTGAGACTATTACTTGCTGAGAGACTTGTGTTTATGAGTTTAAGGAATAATGGCCAATGGAAGACTTCTGAGAAGGGAATAAAAACATGGAGCCACATAGATTGGTGGAAAGTACTGATGTCAAATTAAATTCTTAGGCAATTTAATGTTGAAATATATTTGAATTAAGAAGTAAATTAATTTGGAATAATTCTCATTTAAAAAGTTTCCATGAATGTTACCTACTTCAGTGGTGGTAAATGCTGGCTTTAGATTAGACTATATTTGAACTGTCTCATATCAGCCCAGATGAGAGTATGACTTATGAGACAGTTGTTATGATTTAACGTTTTAATTGTCTGTTAGCCACAATTGAGAATATAAGTTATTCAGTATTAAATTAAAGACAATTTTTTTATGTAATCCTGAACAAGTTATAAACTGTATGAGTTGCATTATTTTTCTGTTGGAGTGAAAATGTAGTAGATAAAAATACTCCATACTGTTTTAAAATTCATGAAACAGCTGATTTGGATTGTAACTGATGAATGAAGATAATAGTTCATATTATACATATTCATGGTTTTATTTTTGTAAACAGAAATGTGATGTTTGTTTAATTTAATTTAATTTATTGAAATTTGTGCCTTTTTCTTCAACTGTTATATATATTTTAGTATGCAGTAGGTGTTGCAAATTACCATAAACAGCGGCTTCCCAAGCTTCTCTGTTGTAAATGATACATTACTGAGTTTTTTTTAAAGCTATCTCTGTGTCTTTTCACAGTGGCATGTGGTAATGATCTCTTTAGGTATTAATAATTGACTTGGTGAAGTGGAGTCTTTATTGAGAAGCTGGTAGCCACTCAGCTGATTAGAAAACTTCCTGCCTTTTATGGATCCTGAGGGTTCATTGCCACATTCATAAGGGTCCACTGCTGGGCCCTTTCCTGATCCATATGAATCCAGTTCACACTGTATTTCTTTAGGATACATTATAATATTATTCTCCTAATTATTCTAATCCACATATGTCTGTCAAGTTGCCTCTTCCTTACATGTCTCCTGTCTAAAATTGTTTGTGCTTTTCTTGTATCTCCCATGAGTGCTCCATTGTACACTTGCATCATCATCCTATTGAATATCAGAACATTACTAATAGGACTGGAACAGTACTGAGTATAGTTTGCTACCTTTGTTCCATAAAGATATGAGATTTCAGTAGTTGCTGCTGTATCATTCATTCATTATTTATTATAACAGGAAGTGTTCATTGCAGAATAAACTTTTATACGACCTTGTTGTCCGTGGTGTTATACACTGGGAAATATGTTTGACCCAACGAGGTTATTTTTGTTTTGTAAAAGGGCAAGTGAGTTGTGCTCCAAATAATAATGCTTACTGTATGTCTTGAAGTGTATTGCTTTTCGTTTTTTTTTTAGATGGATCAGTGTAATGTAAATAGTAGAGGATGGAACTTGAGTGATAAATATGTGTTACATCAATTCCCAATTTGGTTTTTGTTTCAACACATAGATGCTCCGCAGTCTGAGCTACTCACAGTGTTGTTAAGTAAATCATAAATCAGTCCCAAGACATGCTGAAAGTAGTACTGTGATGTGTTATTTTGTTTTATTTATGCTATAGTGTGTCATGTCAGAGGTTGACTGACCTGTGTTTCATTATTACATTTTGTGATTGTTACACAGTGTATCTGATTTGCAAGTAATTGATCTTGTAGTGAGAGAAATTTCTGAGCATGAATATGAAGTGTGAATACATGAATTTTGTGACTTTGAAAACATGAAGAGTGTATGACTAAACACATTTTCAGAAAGAATTTAAATATGTAGAATGTTGGTGCAAGGTTCACATATTGCATTTTTCTAACATATAACAGTTATTGAAGACTTGCTTCAAAATATATAGTAACCAACTTTAAAGTTTAAAATTAAAATCTGTTGAGTCATATGTGTAAAACTTGGTCTTCTTTCCATCACATGTTAACATTTTAGAATTTCTGGGCCAGACTGCATCGTCAAGAAAGGCATTTGACAGGAATATAGACCAGGTAACATTTGAAGTTTGCAAACTGCCACATTTAATAGGTGCATGGGGATTATTTTGTTGCCATGTTTTAACTTTGCAGTGACCAGATCAGACCATTCAGGAAACGTAATGGGGCATATAATCTTTATATTCTTGAACTGCAGTATTTGAGTTTCTAATGTGTATTGACTTTTCAGATATGTGCTACTTCTTAATTTTTTCTACAAAACCGTAGTATGAGTGAATGCCTCCTGTGCTACAAGCCAGAGCAACTTAGTAGTCCATGCCCAAAGTAATTCATTAATGCTTAGGAATGTTTTACATGATTAAATAGGATTTGAGGTTGTTGCGGCAGTGAGAATGAAAATGGCTGTCTTGGGTTGTGCCATGTAGTTTGTTAGAAGTTTTCCAATGTTTCAGAGGTCCTTACTTTCTCCTTGCTTTGTCATTATATGTTGATCTCTTGCACAGATTGTGTGGTGTATTTGAGCTTAAAATGCTCACTGTTATTGATGATGCTGAAATTATCAGAAAATTAGCAACAAAGAGATATATAGGTTGAAATTTATCGTGAATATTGCTCCATGTTATAATGTGAACTGTTCCGTGACGGTTAAAATGTGATGTCCATACATCTGTTAAGTACTAGAAAATTATTGAGCTAATTTTGTTTAAATTATTTCTCTATGATTAATGTAGAAGTGGTCTGCACTGACTAGTGATAAATTAGACCTCATGTTCACATAATTGCTGTATGACATACAGTATGTCTCAGAGTGATGACGATATTCATGACTTGTATTTATTTGAAAAACAGTTTCAGCACTGAAATAGAGATTTCCACAGAAACCCTTAAAGTTTACCACCATGTTCACTTTGTGTCCAATGCGGTGCTGTCATGATATAAATTACATTACGTTGGATAGGATGTGGGACAGATACACAGACTTGTTGCCTCTCAACTTCTTTTTATGTGGGTTCATCAAGAGTCCTGTCTGCACACCACAAATACCACAGTCCCTAGCAGAGTTAAGTGATGAATCTGAGGTGCAGTGGCACAGCACATGGGAAGAACTCTGTATTGCCAAGACATTTGTTGTGTGACTTGAACCACACACATTAAGAATATGTAACCTTGAAATGGTTGTGAGCTTAAATTATTTCAAAGTTGTAACAGCTTTGGTGAATTTAAGTGTAGGTAATGATGTCATCTTAATTTTTTTTCTGAGACAACCTGCAATACACATTTGTCACATATGAAAGCAGTGATGCATCCTTTTGAGGGATTTTATGGTTTAGATGTAATCTGTTTTGTGGGGAGATAAGGGAATTGTCCATTATAGAGATCTGTTGTTCCCTGTGAATAATTTTGTGTGGTGGAGCATGATTATTTTATTTATGTTAAGTTTTATTGACCAACCACCATGTGGAAGTTCAAATTCCTTTCCATGAGTTACATGTTAATTTTTAGGGGTGGGATTGAAGAGAGGAGATAACTTCACTCCATCTAATGCAATAACTGTATTAGCTTGTAACTGAAATTGAGGTCACTTCATATTTGTAGGCAAATAGCAATTTGGGCATGTTTCATAATTCTGTTGTTACTGGTTTAACATTTACTGTGTTGAATGTATTTTTGTCACATGTGGTAATTAAGGCCATTACTGAGTTGTCAAGGCATTATATGTGTCTTTAAGAACCGAATGTCACAGTGCAATTAGCATTCCTGGTTTTATATGGCAGGCCAGTGTCTGCAGGCAGATTCTTGGATAGTACTTTAAAATACACTGACATTGCTTCCATATTCTTTCCAGTAATCATTTAAAGTCATTCTTCCATTTGGCACCTCCCAGCATTTTATTTGTGTCAAAAAGTTGAAATGAAACAAAGCAACAAATCATTTACTTACACTGTAATGAATAGAAGCAACTGGTGAATTGTTTTGGCTTTAATAATTTGTTTATATCCAAATGCTTAATTGAATTACTGTCACATTAACTGAATCCCTTTTTCTTCCCCAGTTACAAATTTATTATCTAATGTCTGTGAATAAATAGAAATGATAATGCGAGAAAATATATGAATTGAAAACTCAAAAGACTATTTTCACTTGTTGCAGATAAGTAGATGACTGGATTTGTTCAGCCCTTTAAATCTGTATGCAGAAAATAATGAAAACATATGGTCAGGCTAGTCCATAATCAGCTGGTATCTTCCCATACCATACTTTAGTTCACATGTTATACCTATATAATTTACCTTAATACTTTGTAGTAGAATCGTGTATTTTACCAAGTAGGATTTGAGGGTCTCATAGTGGCAGGCATGAAGATTGCTGTCTTCTGTGTTACAGTGCTGTGTAATCTGGTACATGCTTCCTGACATATTAGAGGTACTTGCTGCCTCCATCATCAGGGTGATTGCCCTCTGAAACATTGGTAAACTTCTACCAGACTTCACAGCACTACAACCTAAAAGACTGTCATCTTCATGTGTTTTACCATTCGCTTATAGGCTTACATGATAGAGAATTGTGAACAAAAGTTAATGAATCTTGCATGAACATTGGCACATGCTTCTGAACTGTGTATTTCTGCACTTAAAATAATTTATTGCAGGAGGTTGCATAGGTTTTATTTTTATTTTTTATAGTCAGTACTTGTGAATAGTTCAACATCAATACCAGTGATTTGGAAAATACATGTGCTCCAAACTGGATCACATCATTTCACAGTTATTGCATCATACTCATAGTTAATTGTTACTCTTGTTGGTATTAGTTAAAATATTTATTGCTTTAAAATTGAATATCTCAAAGAAAAATATCTGAAAATTGCATTTAAGCATAATGGTACTAAGTCACATTACATTCTGTTGAAATGTTTGATTTTTGTTTCATATGAAAGATATACTATTTGACTGGATCAGTTTCTACTCTTTAAAAAAATATGAATATAAGGCATTGGGTGGTACTTTAATAGTGTGCTGTATGGTTAACTGCAAAGTTGTGTATTCTTTGTTCTAACTCTTCAGCTGGCACTGTCAGTGTTTGCATTACACATGACACAGTGTTGGCAGCCAAAGTTGTGTGTAGAACTGACTTCTGAAACCTGCTTCTTTAAAAACATCTGGGTGATATGGTGAAAAAACAATTTTATAGTGTTCAACAGTTATACTAGCACAATTTTTAATAAGTGAGGACACAAGAAAATTGGTACTTAATTTATTTCATAGTACAAATCTGTGTACTATGTTAATACTGTGACATAACAATTTTCAGGGTGCCACCCAGTGCTGTAAAAATGGTTTTAGCTGTCAGCTTATTTGCGTTCATTGTAAAACAGTTCGAGATAATTTGGTATTTTATGCATATGTTCCAGAATGAAACATTACAGATCTGTCTCCCTATTGGATGTGGTTACATTAACACAATAGTGATTGTTAAATTGTTGTGCAGTGTAATTTATAGCATCTGAGGACCTGTGCAAATTTGCACATGTGACAACATAATTTCTGTTGCTGATTTGAGTTTCTAAATATTTGCTTTAATATAGCAAAGAAGGGTTTATTTATAATTTAAAGTATTAAGTTACATAGTATTTGACCTAATAATATAAGGTTACAATGTAAGTAGCATTCTCAGAATTCAAAATTATGGTGTTTAACCATTATCATCCGTGCACTACAGCTTATGCATGATTTGTCTGGCTGTGTCCTATTAGTTTGATGATAAACTATTAACCCTGGAGTTTGTCTGGCCAGCACCTGCATAGTACAGGGGTTTAAATCCCTTGCTCATGTATGATAAAAATTAATCTAAAGTGTTTTGTTAGGAACGTTGTAAGTATGTGTAGAATTTTTTGAGGGAAATTCCTATTGCCATTTGTCTACACCAAACAGGACAGTAAGTTTTTTTTTGTGCCTTGACTCTTGTGGAAGTTGTCTCCTTTACATTCTGTAATTAATACATAACCTGAATGCTACATCCCCCACTAGAAAATAAAACTTCCTCTTGGTGAGAATTTAGGTTATCGTGGTAGTGAGTATGAGGATGTCGTCTTCTGAGATGTGCCATATGGTCTTTTAGAAATTGACTGAAGTTTTGGAGGTGTTTGATGAGTAGCTTATTGCCCTGATAATGTAGATAGCATACATGTCAGAAACAATGGTAAACTTCTGCCAGACTGCATAATGAAACATCCTAGAGGACAGACTTCTTTAAAACTCTCTCCTGATTTACTCAATTTTGTAAGAAACCAGCCAAAGTTTTACTCAGGCTTTATGAAAGACTTTAACGAAGTCTGAAGGAAGGATAGTGGCCCAAGAACTTTGCCTGTGTAATGTAATGAACATGTGGCTTTAACTACACAACTCCAGTTTCTTTTCTCTTTGAAGATTGCTTCTGTAGATTGGTTTTACATCAGTTCTCATGTAACAATGATTAATTTGCATGATATTTTGTACAGTTCAGTAGTGTAAGAAATAGTTTTGTTTTTTAAGTGATGTGAACATGTATTTTTGTCCTTATTTTAAGTCATGTAGTTATGTTGTTTTTACTGTTTTTTTAATTTATGTGAAGTGGGCGGAAAGAACAAGGAATATCAGAACGAGAGCCACATTTCACACATGTGAGGTGTCTCCCTGAAGAACAGTGTGAGAAAGAAATAATAATTTATGTGTATGCATGTGGAGTCTCAATGTGAACAGTGCTCTGTCCGATTTCTACCCGTGTTTTACATTTGTTTGTGTATTTTAGTTGCAGTGCCCTGAACATGTCCATTTTTTCATTTTGAGTTAGCATTTCATTAATGACATTCCTCTTTTTGAAAAGTTGTTTTTATCAAGTATGCAAGGTTTGTTTATTTAAGTATTTATTTTGTACCTTTCAGTATTTTAGTATGCTTTGTAGCATTTCTAAGATACTGTCGTAAAAATATGTGAAGCAGATCATTTCTGTTAAAAATGTGGGACCATTCTCATCATAGTGGCAATGGGAGAGCAACTGAAGTAAAAGCAGAGTTTTTTGTGCTTTTAACTCACAAAACTGAAGTTAACCTTTCACTTGCCTAGCATTGCTTGAGTCCTGGTGTTGGGTTATGAACTCAAATCTTGCTCATTAATTAAACCACATGAAGTGAAATTTATGTTTTTGTTCTCTGGTTTTAAGTTGGATGTATAGTTAATGTCATAGCTTATTGCAGAGAACTCTATTCATCAGTCTTCATGGCACAGATAAGTAAATTTGCTCTATTAATATAAACACAAAGTAACTTGGAAGTGTGTATGTATGAGCATGCACATTTATTATTATTTGTGAGTAAACCAATGAAAGTTTATATGTAGCATCCCAGTTGATTAACAAGTAGGACTGTATATAATTTTAATTTAATCCATCTTGGTATCCAATTTAAATGAAATGAGTTTTTTTCTCATCATGTGGATTCAAGATCAGGGTACATCAATAGGAACATACTATTTTTTTGTAGTCTGTATGTCTCTTGAATTAATAGGTTTATTACACTGTTTAGCTGTTATGTGACTTTTTCAACTGGTAGTTTGCCCCAAAAGTTCCTAGTAGACTTTACACATGAAAATGTTCACTATGCACATGCAATGCAAATTGAGTGTTACATATGTCATTAAGAAGCTCCATTCCTATTCTGATGTTGATTTCATGTAAATGGGTTGCAGTTTATTTGCTTTTGTAAGCTCTTACAATATTTATGCATACACATTCTCTTTAATTCTATTTATATTGAAGTTTGATTTAAATTTGTATATATTCAGTGATACTTTAGTTTAAAAGTTGACAAACATGTGCACACATAGTGTTTGTAAGATTGGACTTCTTGTCAGTTTTTGTGTTTTGTCTAAGATTATAACTAGGCTTCAGTTCTCTTATGGAAAGGAACTTCCACTGGCACCTTCCTAAAAAATACTGTGCTAAAAATTACTTAAAATAAGAAATTATGCAGTCTATGTAGTGGCTTTCACATTTGATATTCAAAAGTGTTTTCATTTTTAAAGACTTTTTTGTATAAATATAAAACTAGATTCCTCACCAGAGGGAAAGAACATAGATTGAGAGCATTTTACAACAAGGTGCTGAGGAGAATATTTGGACCTGCGAGAGAGGAAGTAACAGGAGAGGAGAAAATTGCATAAATCAGGAGCTTCATAATTCATAATGGATGGGACCAATGAGAAATGTTTAAGAATTTTATTTTGGAAACTGAAGAGAAGTCCTAGGCATAGATGGATGATATTATTAAAACTGATATTAAAGAAACAGGTTTTGGGGGTGTGGACTCAATTCTTATGGCTGAGGATAAGGTCCAGTTGAGGCTTCTGTGAAAATGATAGTGATATTTTCAGGCTTGATGAAAGCTAGGGAATTTGTTCTTGACTAGGCAGATGTTATCTACAAATGAAGGGCTCTGCTCCATGAGCTTAATTATTTCTTGTGATAGAACCTCAGTAATTTATGTGATATCTGAGTACTGGTAAATTTCTTTCCATAGAGAAGAAGCACTGGTTATAAGTAATCCATTGTGGTCACCCGAGAAGTTTCATGTGATCTTACAGTTCTTGGTCCTGGGATAGAATTATTCTATTGCATTGATGTTTGCTGTCCTAATTTTAAATGTGATCTTTTACAATTTAAAGGTGATGGTGATCTGGGATTTAAATAATCCTAATTCTGATCTGATACAGATTGATTTTAGCTATGACAAAAATGCATGTACTTGTATTGTGTAAACGACTGAGGATAAATTGTCATATAAAATGTAACAAAATTCAGTAGTAACTCATGTCTGATGGATTTCATCATTACATAACACAAAGAGTTTGGCCAGTTGACTTTCTCTGTTCTCAGCTGTGTGATAGTCTCTGTAAAATTATTTTTAGATCCTTTTATCAGATTGGGTTTAGATGATTGTTTAAAGGCATTGCAGCTCATAAATAAGATCACATTATAAAAATTAACAGACAAAATTTCTCTCTAGGCTAGTTTGTGGCTATTTCAGTTTATATGATGCAGCGGAGTCCATGTTTAATGTTAACCAATTTAACACTTTTTCTCATTTAAGGTTTCCTCCAGTGGTATGTTGAAAATCATTTCCTCATTTCTGAGGAAATTTAAATGGGGATATTACTGTACATGCCACCATACTAAATTTGTAATAACTTTTATATTAACTTCATGTCTTCACATGCATTCATCTCCATGTGAAGTGTCTGTGTACTTTGCATTTGAGATGAAATTGGCATGAGCCATAATGTAAATGTAATGGATTATGTCATTATTTGGGTACATAAAGGCAAAACCTGTGTTCATATATTACCTCATTGTATGCTTGCAACAGTACAATACGTCTTCCTGCTCCAATAAATAATCATCATACATGATAGTATAATTGAATGTAACATATATTGGTAGCAGTGGTAAGAGAAAGCATGTCCTGTTATGGAACTATTAAGTGTTCAGCATATAAATTTGTTTATTCTTACAGGGAGCTTTGCTGTAGCAGAGCAGAATTGCTGAAACATTGAGTCTGTTGACAGTTCTTTTGTATGTTTATTTTGGTGGAATGTGTGTGTGTTTATGTGTCTGTCCACACAGACACACACATATTTTTAAGGCAGATGTTTGCATAATTCAGAAAAGAAATTGTTCATTAGCCTGTATAGTAGCATTAAGGAAATATATGAGTATTCTGTAGAATGTCCAAAATATGTGGAAATAATTTTACCTCTCCTTGGTTATTAAAACATAAAGTAGGGTATTGAATATGCTTATTTATTCTATTTTGCCATTCCAAGCTCCCTTCCTGTGTCCTATTATATTGGGCTCATAATAATTCCAAACTTGGGCAAAGTCACACTAAGAGGGGCAGGGAAGGGCAAAGAGTCTGTCGGAGCATGTATTGTGTAATTGGATATAAATGTTCTGCTTTTAATTTTGACACATTTGGTAACACCTGCTTTTACACATCACTATTTTAAGAACCATAGAAAGTATAAAACACTAGCAATGCAAGCACATCATTAACCCACACACACTTCTTTTCCAACCTAAACATAATCCTCAGATGTTGTGATTGTTAATCTAGTTCATGTCTGCTAAAACAGTTCATATTTATAATGACTTATATAATTCAGAATGGTGCTAAAGCAGTAATAAATGCCAGATTTAGAGCTATTCTGGTGATGCTTTTTGTGTTTTAAGTATAAAATAACTGAAAATATTTAAATTCCAGTGCCTATTGCTTCCCAAAAGATATTTAATTACAAAGAAATACAGCCCATATATTAATGCATTATTTAACAAACTATGAATAGGACAGCATAAACAGATTTTAGATTTGTTGCACTTCCTGAGTAAAGGATTTAGGTTAGTGAATCATGCAATGTTTGTTCTGTTTTTTTGTAGTATTAAAACTGGTAATAGCCAATCATCATGGCTGGCCAGTTAAGAAGTTCACTGTGTTTACTGAGTTACCAATGGAGTTTAAATCTCACCAGGCAGCATGAATATATTATTTTTATTGCCACCACCTAGGACCCATGCAAATAAGACATGGTTTAATAATCCTGGGTCACACTGGCTGTATTTGTGTGTTGGTAATGCTGTAAGTTTGTTTTCAAAATGTATCTTGTAATTATTACTGGTTGGCAGTTGCCCTGTAAAGTGGTTGTAGTTTTTGTCAGTTTATTAGGTGAGATAGGCTACAACTGCCTGGTTCCAAATCCATTTATGAATTACCAGGTAATCTTTCCATTTCATTTGGCATTGTGTAACTTATACAGTTGAAATAGTAAGTCTTTGGTGCTCAGTAATAAGTCAAACACAGATTTGTTGACTCATCTTTCTTAGCAAGCACCATGGAATGATAGTCCTGAGAAGTGGTTTCAAAAGTAAGTGATCTTGTAAAATTTCATGACAGAAGCTCTAAGAGGAAAATACCATTAAGGTTTCTTTCAGCAGGTAACATTTTGAAATATTCTGTATGGTAGGATAATTATGCTTAGTAATAATTGTGATTGTGAATGGGATAGACAGAATGAAGTAAACCTTCCATGTACAGGAAAATTTCAATGCAGACCCAAACAGGAAAAGTATATGAAATATTATTAACTGGTTTGTCTGAACTTGCAGGTTGTCATGTTTAATTTGGGTTTATGTTTAACAGCAACTATATTGGTAAACATGCATTCATTATCATGTCAGTTATAATCATGAATAGTATGAAGTAAACGGTTTATTCTTTGTTTAATCTAGATTGTATACTACCCTAAAATAAGTTAGTGTTCATACTAAAAGACAAGTACTTTTAAAGCTTGTAACACACATTCCAGTTTTATGATTTTTTTTTCTAATCGTTTTCACATTATATAAATTCCTTTCTGTAGTTAGAAAATTTTTAGTGTATTTATTTCTCAGAGGAAGAGACCACTTGGGTAACCAGGATTTATTTATTTATTTGTGGTTTATTTAACTATGGTCAGCAGCTGAGACTGAAATCATGGAATGGTAAGATTATTAATAAATTAATGAATCTTAAAGGTGGATGGAAGCAGTCATGGTATAATTTAAGGTACTATTCTGACATTTGCCTGAAGGGAGTGGGAAGACATGAGAAAAGCTCTGTCAGGATAGATGGTCTCAGAGCCAAGATTTTAACCATAACCCCTTAATATGAAGCAGGATGCTACATTTGTTACAAGGTATGAGAGGGTTTTTTTTTGCATCATGGTATTGGCAATGTTGTCTCTTAAATAGTTATTATGATAGAGTGTACAAAAATGTTAAGTAGTTCTTGATTACAGTAAAATACTATGTACAGTTGAAAATGGTTTTCAGTCCTTTAGCCATGTGGTTTTATGCAACCGCTCTAAAATCGTAGATTTTTACATTCTATAGAATGAACCTAGTAATGTTTCAGGGACCTTAAATGTGAAATTTTGTGAGTGAATCCTGCAGTCAGTGTTTACAAAGGAAATTGGACTGAAAAAGGACTACAGCAGGCTTTACTGATGTCATTTTAAAAAAATCAAAGCTATATACATGTACTATCCATAAGTTCATGTATATAGCTTTGTTAGAGCATGTACAGTCAATCTATTTGACCTTTACCAACTGTCAATGTGACATAGGTGTTATTTAACATTGTGGATTGTGGATTTCTTAAAAAGTAATGAATTTATGGTGTAGGATCTGCAAAGAAATGAAAATGAGGTAGTTTTTCTAAGACATTGAATTCTTCAATAAGAAAACAGGTGTGAGAGTAAGCAGTTGCTGGCTTGGTGAAGTACAGTATTTTTCTTGTGAGATTTTCTAGTCCACATACCAGCTTCTCCTGATGCATAAGTGAAAATAATGGTCCACCTTTGGTCTTTAAAGTGACAGGTTCTGATGGTTACCTTGAAGGGTAGGACTTCACAATCACAACACATGTCTGATCCTTGAATATATTTATTATTCTTTACACAATTCTTGATATAGAATGAACTGGGGATGTAGGGTTGCAAGCAGAAATAACAGATATGGGCAAAGATATGGTTTTTTATGAATACAGACAGTAATATCGATGAAGTTAATGTGTTTGATAGTATTACAAATTAATAGATGCCAGTTTGAAGATATGTTCTCATAAGTCAACACTACATTCAACTATATTTTATACTCGTATATAATATATATTATATAGCCATATTTTCGTTTCAACATTACCTGTTTTGTTTGTTGATTGACATTGTTTTGTTAAGGTAATCTGAAATTTAAATCTTTATTAATACTGTTGTATTATGACAGTATTAATAAAAAATTGAAACGTGGAATATAATGATATGAACATCAAATTTAAAATTAGTCTGAAATTGTTATACAATTTGCTGCAGATTTCTATTCTGCAACAAAAGATGATATCTGTAAACAAGCTATTTATAAATACTTTTCTGTTTTTAGTTTTGATGCTTTACATTATTATTAGCAGAGACACTCTAATGTTGTGGAAGAAAGTATGATATTTTGAAATAGAAATCCAGGTATACATTTGTGACATATTTGTTATGTATATTATAAGTATTTTTACGTATTTGATATGAATACCTTAAATTTTATGAATTTTTGTTTAAAGATTAAGTTGTAGAAGTTTTATAGTTACACAGTCACAATTATTGTGTAACTAAACATAGTTCACAGTGTAAGCCTGGACTTCTCTGTTGTCCCACAACCTTAGCACTTTACCTATAGGTTTATAAAGATTGTTGAATAAAGTGAAGAGGAGGTATTAGTTGTAATTTTTATGTAACAACAAATATGACCAGTATATTTTGAAATTCAAAATAGCCAGTTTCCCATAAGCACAAATATCCTGGTCAAGGTTATATGTACCTCACAACCTCTAAAGGTAGTTAGCAAGAAAAATGAATTACAAAAAAATTGTACTTTTTAGTAGAGAAGATGCTACCTGTATATTTTAACAGGTAGTGTTTTTATTCAGAGCTCAGTTTATAAATTTTCTGAGCCCAGGGCCCCTGTTTGTTACAGATCTCAACCTCCCTTCCCACCAAGAATTGTAACTTCTAATTTGAGGATTGTTTATTAAAATATTTTGTTATAGTAGGGTGACCAGACTGAGGCACCAGTAGGCATATGTTATGAAAGTTTTAGGTAATGGTAATGAAATGATTGTTATTAATGGTAAGATGGAAAGATGAGGGATATGAATAAATATAAAGAAAATAAATTATAAATAATAGAGACTTAACCTTAACTTTGAACAATTTTTTAACAAGATTAATGCATAAGTAACAGTCTTAACATTATAACATTCCATAAGACAAAATAATATTTACCACATATAGCCTATTTTAAGGAGCTACTTCTGAAAATTATGAAAATACCAACAGTAACCAGGATGCAGATGGGGTGTCTGTGGAATGAAAGGCAGTAATGAAAACCATTACATTATCATGTTCAGTATAAAATAGTGAAAAGAACTTCTGATTGTCACTGTTATTAACACTGTCATGTCCACAATACTAATTCTTCTCAATAAAATTAAAAGTGTATTTAATTCATATTTATGTATGTTGATCTGCATGATATAATGTGTGACATGATATGAATATTTTAAATTTTTTTTGTAACAGAAAAAGATCTACCACAGTAAGTACAGATGGTGAACTATCATCCAGTGTCATTTGTTTTATATAACTTCATTAAAAGATGAGGAGAGTTGTAGGAAAGAGGGATTACATTTAAAGGTTAAAATTAGCTATGGTGGAAAGCTTTATTGGGACACTGTCATATGCCACATAATTCTGGGGCTGTCACTGAAAGTAATGTTGGGGCCTTCTGGTCACCATAAGTATAAAATAAAAGTTGTCATGGGAATAAGTATCTTACATTTAAAAACATTTAAAACATTATTAACATTTTGCCATATCTAACACAGTAGAACACACCAATACCAGTATTAAATGCAGTTAGAGCTTTTAAGTTGATTGGTCTGATAATGAGAGGGTGCACTGAATTTAAATGGTGTGGCAGAAGTTAACAGTTGTTACACATCCATAGGGACCCTAATTTATTTTTGTCCCTGAGCCCTTCAATGCCTAAATGTAATCTGATTTAATTTGAATATGTAGATATGTTTATCACACATACAATGCAATGTTCCTATGGTATGGGACAATAGGTCATGTCACTGTTCAGTCTTAGCCATGGTATCTGGTAAATTAATGTAGGTAACCAACTTCAACTCATCCGACTTGTTTATTTATGAGAACCCGCTTTCTGTTTATGTTGTATATTGTACTGTATAGAAAAGTATTGGTTCTTTTTTGCTCTATAAGCAATGAGTCAATTCTTATTGTATTTTTAATAATGGAAGCCCCAAAGTTTAGACATCATCAAAAGGCCAAAATATATTGTTCACATATTGTTTATATTGTTTGCCACATCTACTGTCATGTTATGAAAACTTTATGTAATTGCTTGCATTTTGGATTTGTACATAGTGTGTTTAATAAGTAATATGTGCATCATTTGTTACATTCCAAATTTAAAGTAATGTCATTCCATCAGATGTGACATGTGGCAGACATTTACATTGTGCAAGGCTGTGAGATCAGTTCAGTAAAAAGATGAAAATGTTTAATAATTTTTTGCCAAAACGGTTATATAACAGATTAGCTATTTAGGTAAGCAGAAATGAAAACTGATATGTGTGATATTAATTTCTTCCTTTACAATATCAAGTTTATTTCTTAAGTAGTTTGGTTGGTTTTGTGTCAACAGTGTAACATATCCCGTATAAATGTTTGAAAGTTACAGGCTTTCCAGCCACAGTGAATTCATTGTGACTATCTTAGTTTCCTCTTATATTTCAAGTGGGTAGAACAAAAATTATTTATTTTATAATTTGCTAGAGAGAATTTCTGTTTTTTCTTTACACACTAGATTGTTGTATCTATATTACAAATAATTTGTTCTCTGCTTGTCATTGTTCAAGTAGCGTTCCTTTTGCTCATTGACTATTTATGAGATGTTTTCTGGGTTGTGACACTGTGTGGTTTTGTAGATGGCTACAAACATTTCAGAGGAATGTATCTCCCTCATCTTGAGGGTGAAGTCACCTAAAAGACCACATGATATCACAACTCAGAAAACTATTGATATCTTCGCTGTTATGAGAACCTTAATTCTCACATACTACTTAGAATTTATGACAGAATAGTTATATTTGGAACTGGTAAACACCTTTAATTTTAAAAATTATGCCTTGACTTTTCTGAAGTTTATAAGCCTACTTACAAATGATATTCTGGCAATCAGATTTTATTACTTGTAGATTTAACATACCTTCAACTGAAA